ATTTATTTAAATAATAAATTTAATATATAATAAAATAAATAAAATTTAATTTTTAATTTTAAAAAGACATAAATATAAATATATGAGAGAAAACTCATCTTCCATAAAACGAGAAATTATAAATTAATAAATAATTTAAGATTATAAAATAAAAAGTTCATTGAATATTTGTAACAATAATAATAAAAGCCCTTAAAATACATGGAAATAAACAAAAGAATATATTAATTAAATAAAAATTATATAAAGTGAGAATTTATAAAAAAATAAGAAATAGAATTATTAAATAACCGGGTAAATTTTTAAGAAGAATAGATCTAAAGTTAAAAAATGTAAATTTAAAATTTAGAAAAGAATATTTCTTTATAAAATACATAAAAATTTAAAATTAAAATGATTAAGTTTGTCAAATGGAAATGAAAAATAAAGATTTATAAAAAAAATTGATTTATTATGAATAGGTTTTATTTAATTATTAAGAAGAAGTTAATAATTAAAAAAAAGAGTTTAATTTTTAAATTAATAAGCTTATTTAAGAAAAGGAGTTTTTAAGTTAAAATTTAGAAAGTTTAAATAATCAAGTATTGAAGACAATAGAAAATTATGAATAAAAATGTGAAAAAAAAATATAGAAAAAAAACTAAAAAATAAAAAATTATAAAAATTAAATATTAACAAATAAAAGCTTTATAGATAAAAATTAAAGTTAGATTTTTCTATTATAAAACGAAAAAAATTCACTTCAATAAGAAATTTTTGACAAATAATCTTAGTTGAATTTATTAATGTTAAATCAAGATAATTTAATAGAAAAATTTAATGTAATTTATTAAAAAAATGTATATATATAATTATTTAGCAGTTTATTTTATTTTGTAAAAATTAAAAATTAGATAAAAACAACAACAAAAAGACAATAAAATATTTATTTTACAAATTATTTTTTTATTATAAATTATAAAAAATAATATAATTAATATAAATATAATAAGGTATTAGAAAATGATTTATAGAATGCTTTAAAAACGAACTAAGAATTAACATTAAAATTATAGGAATATTCAGGTTTAAATGAAATAAATAAAAAGTTTGATACATTATTTTAAGAAAATATAAATTTAAAATCTGAAATAGAAAATTTAAAATATTCGAATAATAAAAAGATAATGGAAAAAGAAGAATAATTTTAATATTTTATTTAAAATTTGAACTTATTTATTGAAAGTAAAGGAAAAACAGAAGTTCTATTCGAAAGAGAAATATAATATACAGATGTGTTATTTTAAAAAATATTAAAAATAATGGTAAATGTACAAAAATTAAAAAGAAAAAAAATAGTTAAAAGAAATAAATATAGAATAAAAATAATAAATTGATTATATAAAAAAACTTATTAATAAATTTTAGAAGAAAGGAATTTAGAAGAAAATTAATATAATAATATTTATAATAATATGCATTAATAATTAAATGCTGTTATATAATAATAATAATATAGTAGATAATAATCAAAGAATTTAGAAGAAACAAAATAAAATAAAAAATAATTAAACTAATTTTACTAATAATAATTATAAAAATAAAAAAATAAAAAAAATTAATTGAATTTAGAAGAAATTGAATAAAATTAAGAGTAAATAGAAATATTTTAATAGTAATAATAATATAATAAAATATATAATAATAAATAATAATAAATAATAATAATAATAATAATAATAATATTAATAATAATAATTATAAAATTAAAATAAGAGTATTTTAGAAAATTAACAAATTAATTTTAATAATACTCTAATAGAAAAATAATAAAATAATTAAATTATTGATAATTAAATTGAATAATAATATAAAACATAAATTCTTGAAATCTAAAATATTATAGATATAAAAGATAAATAATATAATAAAATTATATAAGAAAAATAAGAAGAAATTAAAAAATTGAATGATGAAATTTTTCAAATATATTTTTTAATATATTTATTAAGTAAGATTATACTAAATTTTTATTATAGAATAAGAAAAACTTCTTTTTTGAAATAGTAAATGGAAAATTTAATTTGTAAATATTTTTATAAAAAAAACAGTTTGAAAAAATATGTTTTTTCGATTATTTTTATTTAAATCTTGAAGAAAAAAATCATTAATATTGATAAAAATAAAAGCTTTATGAATATAAATTTTTAAAATTTTTTAAAAAAATATTTTTTATGTTCTTTTTTGGATAAAATAGACGATTTAAAAATAGACTCTAAACTTTTTAATAAAATAATTAATAAATTTGCACTTAAAAATAAAAATAATGAAATAAAGTTTAACTAAAATTACCTTTAAAAAATTCTAGAAGTATTAGAGGAAGATTTCTTATAATAAGATATAAAATTGAAATAAAACAATTTACTTTTTTCATTAAAAATAGATTCAAAATAAAATGATTTTAATTAAATTTTGGAAAAAGAAAATATTTAATTAAAAGAATATATAGTAGATTTAAAAGAGGAAATAGATAATTATTAGAAAAATAATTAATCTAATACTATTTATATATAAAAGATTATTTAGGAACAAGAATAACTTAAAAATGTTATTTTGAAATTATAAAAAGATAATTAGTATTAAATAGAAAAATATAGTAAGCTTTATGAAATAATAAATCCTGAACAGAAAGAAATTATTTCTAAATAATATATTAAAGATAATATTTAAACAAATTTTATAGAAAATTAAATAAATATAAATAAAATAAATAAAGATTTTGAATAGATATTAAAATATATTTGAAATTTTATTTTAAATAAGTATTATATATTTACAATAATTTTTTTAAAAAATTAATTATATTTTATTATATATATATAAATATATATATTAATATATATATTTATTCATATATATATATATAAATTATATGTTTAAAAGTATGTTTTTTAAAAAAAAAATAAAAAAAATATATTATTTCAATTTAATAAATATTTTAACTTAAGTTTTAAATGTCTTAATTAGATGAAAATGAAGATGATTATAAATTTTTGAAAAGTTTTATTTCTGGTATAGAAATACTCAAAAAAAAATTATTTTATATATTTAATTGTACAAAAAGGTGGATTTGCTGGTGCATGTGCTAAAACAGTTATTGCTCCGATTGAAAGAATCAAATTTTTATTTGTTGTAAGAATTTTATTTTTAATATAAAATAAAATAAATCTCTATTTTTAAAATTATTTTTTTGAAATGTATCAATAGACAAGATAAAAACAATTTAAATATAAAATAGCATTTTAAGAAGCCAAATATATTTTCTAAAAACATGGCATTAAAAATTTTTGGAGAGGAAATAGTGCTAATTTAATATCAATATTACCATTTTCAGCTATTGTATATATAATAAAAAAAGTTAATTTTATGTATTTAACTTTTTTTTTTTATAGAATTTCTCAACTTTTGATTTTCTTAGAGATGTATATATTATTATTTTTATTTATATTAGTATTTTATTTTTGATAAATAAAATAGAAATTTCATACTCCAATTTAATAATCAGATAATAATTCAAAAAATAAGTTATTTTATTTTTATTGGAGCAACTGCTGGTGTAGTTGCTTAATCTTGTACTTATCCTATTGAATTCCTTAGGTTTTTATTAAAAAAATACATATTTTATTTAGTGTTTTTATTAAATAAATTGTTTTTAATTATATTTAAAATAGAACAAGAATGGCTATGTAAAAGGATAATTTTAAATACAATAGTTTGATTCATGCATTTAAAGAAATATATAAAATTGAAGGTATTAGAGGATTTTATAGAGGATTAACATTAGCTATAATAGTATTTATATATATATATATATATATATATATATATATAATTATATATATATAAATATATTAACAACTAATTATTATTTTTTAACAAAAGGGAGTTTTTTTTTATCATGGATCTGGATTTTTTATTATTACAAATTTAAAAGAGTATTCAGAAATACATTATCCTAAAACTTCTAAAGAATGGTATTTTGATTTTGCTTTTGGAGCTTTTGGGGCAACCTTTTCTTAAGTTCGTATTTTTTAAAAAGTTTTTTTAGTTTTTTAAATTTAATATATAATTTTTTGTTTTTAAAAAGTTGCCTATCCTTTTGATATTATGTATAAAAGAAAATAAGGCGAAGCTTTACTAGTATAAACAGGTGAATAGAAATCTGAAATGTAAAATTTATAAAAAATAATATTTTTTTTTTTTGATATATAATAAAGGACGACAAGTTAAATGTTTAAATTTTATTTACATAAAGAAGGATTTGGAAGTGCATTATTTAAAGGAGTTACAATAAATATGATAAAAGTATATATTTTTTAATTATAATTATATTTAGTTAGATTAATTAAATATATATAAAGGCACCTATAGCCAATGGAACTGCTTGGGCAATAAAAAATAAAGTAAATAGATATATTGATAGTAGTTATGATTTTTGAAATAAATTAATAAAATAAAATTATTAATGTTATATTTTTATATAAAATATATAATAAAATTTATAAATTTATAAAATTATATATATAAATATATATATATATATATATATATATCGTTATTGTTTTAATCATGTATTTTATCATTTTTTAAATATTTTATCAAAATTTTCTTGATGTAAATGTGTTTATTATAATAAATCTGGCATGGAATTACGAATTTTTGTTTATTTTCTTTTTTATTAAATAAGATTTTATTATAAACATATTTATTGTAATTATTTATTCAAGTATTTTTCATTCTATATTTATTATTCAAAAATTGACATTTTTTCTGTTTATTTTTCTTGGATTTCAAATGGTATCTAATTTTCTTTTTTATAATTATTTATTTCTTCATATAAATTAGATACTAATTCTTTTACTATTTATGATTTTTAATCAACTACATTTTCATAATTAATGTACTTTTCTTATAGAATTTGCAGATCATATTATAAATTTTCATTTTCTAATAAATATACATTATTTATATTTTTTAATTATTCTATTTATTATTTTAAATCCTAAATTTATTATATATATTATGTTTAAGATTGCATTATTTATTATTTAAATAATTTTTCTTAGTTTTTATAATTGGTTAATAATTAATTATACTATAATTATTATTCTTAAATTAAATATTCTTATTCTTAAATATATATTTGTTTTTACTATTAAAAGCATATTGCTGCCTAATTAAAATAATAAAAAATAAATATAAAATTAAATAAATAAAAAATAAATTTATTTATATATAAATTTATATAAATAAATATTATTAAATATTCATATATAATAATATAAAAAAAAAAAAAATTGATAATTATAAAAAGAAATATTTTTCTATTTCTATTTATAATATTTTATATTTTTATTTTAATAAATATTATAAAGAAACTTCAAAAAAATTAATTATTTATAAAATAATGACTAATGATATTATTAATGATATAAAAATAATAAAAATTAAAAAAGAAAATTAATTAATAATAATATTTAATTATATATTTATAAGTATAAGGTATTAAAAAAAAAAATATATAAATAGATATATATAATAATATATATATATATATATATATATATATATATATATATTTATATTATTATATTACTTCTTAAATTCCACAATGCATATTTTAAATTATTTATTACTAAATTTATTGTTGTATTTTTACAATATTTTATGGATTCGTAACATCTTCATATTTTTATTTTAATTCGTTTTTTTATTATAATATTTTTTTTATTTCTTGTTGAACTTCTTTTATTAAAAACAAGGCATTTTAACTTTAATTCATTTTATTTTATAATTTTTCTTTATTCTTTATTTCTTAAAGTAGTTTTATAAAGCTTTCATCTTATTATAATGGTTTTTTAGTATTTTTTTCTGAATTTATTTCTGTATGTATTTAATTTATTATTTCATATATTTACGTCTAATATTCTATTTCTTTAAATTTTATAGTTGAATCTTATTACCATTGATCATTTTAAGTTTAACATAAATCATCATTCTATTTTTATTTTTTTATTTTACATTTATTTTATTTTTTTACTTAAATTTAACGTTTTTAATATAAATTTTCGAACCTTTGTTTCCAGAATTTTATTTCTTATTATAGATCTTACAATGTGTTTTCTTTTTAGTCTTTTTTTAATGGAGCATTTTTTTGTTAAAACAGTTTTTTTTATTAAGTTATTTATGATTATTACATAATTTTTTTTATTCTTATTATTATTAAAACAGATATATTTTTATATTAAAATTTATTTTTTATTTTCATTTAATAATAAAAATTAAGTTAAAAAAAATAAAATATATATTTATAGTAAACTAATAAAGTAAATAATAATTATAATATACATTTATTACAAAAAGATATATTTATTCTTAATATTTAGTTAATAGTTTAAATATATATAAATTAAGATTCATTTTTTAAATAACCTTTTTTTATATTTTTACATAATATACATAATGTTTTTAATAGGTGAAACAGTAATTAGGCTGTAAGCAATAATTCTTTCCGACTAAGTTTTATTTATTTCTTTAATTTTTTATAAAGCCTACATTTAAATTAAATCTAATTAAATTTATTTTAGACTAAAATCATAATTATTACTAAACAATTTAAGTGCTGAAGGCATATTTTTTAGTAATTCAAATAAGCAATAATCTTCTTCCAATTTAAATTAAATATAATCATCTTTAAATAAAATGACTTATTTCATCTATTAATTATCAAAAACTTTTTATTTATACAATTATATTAAATTTTCCTTATTTCCTTCCACTATATTATTAATTTTATTTTTATTTTCCGCTCCAAAAGTGAAACGTATATCTCCCCAATAAGAAATTGAGCAAACTGTATTTAAAAATTAATCTATATGAATTGGTTAATTTTCGTAAAAATTAAGAATAAGAGAAATACTAGAAGATGATAAAAGGTTGGATTTTAATGCTAAATTAAGCTATTTATCATTTTCATCTTTTTTTAGAATTTTAACGGGCTTATGTAATCTTCCACTACATGTTAAAATATCCCAGTTTAACAAATCTTGCTTTAAACGATTAATATCGATAACTCCATATTTTATATTGTATATTTCATTTTCATGAGTTAGTTATATGTTTGGATTAAAATGGACAAGGCAAACATGATTTCTTAATGCATTAATATAGGAAGAACCAAAATAATAAGATAATCCAGAATAATGGGTTGGGTTTTACTTAAAATTTTAATTGTGCCATTCATCGGCATCATCTACAGCGAAAAATAGATCTATTAAGGGCTTTTATAGTGTATAATCGTAGTCTTTTTAAGGATATACAGCTGAACCATAAGCAAATGCAAATTAAATTTAAGGAAAGGTTGATTCGACTAAGGATAAAAGTTTTTATTTTTAAATCATTTTGGTGCTTTATAATAAAAGTATATATTTATATATATTTAAAAAGATATTTAAATTAAAATAAAAATAGATATATAATTTAAATTAATATATGATTATAAAATAAATATATTTATTTAATATATATATAATTTAATATATTGATTATATAATCATATTATTTATATATATTTAAATTTAAATTTTAAAATATGTTTTAGTTCATATTAATTTAATCTTCTAAATGCATACTAATTTTATTATTAACTTATTTTTTTTTAATTCATTATAAAAAAAAAATATTATTATTTATAAAAAAATATAGAAAATACTTTAAATATTTAATATTAATTTATATTATATTAAATTATTAAAAAAATATATTATATAATTTTTTTTTATATTTTTAAAATAATATAAATATATAAAATCTGGTATTAATGGTAGAAATAATTATTAATAATAAAATATAATAAAATATAAAAAATAATATAAAATTTATAATAATTATGTAATAAAATATATTTACAAGAATACATAATTAAAAAAAAATTAAAAATTTTTAAAAATAATAATTTAATATTATTTATTAAATATTAATATATAATATTTTTAATAATTTAAAAATTAAAATCATTCATTATATTTTATTTATAATTTTATAATTTTTATAGAAAATATTTTTATTTTATTAGTGTTATTATTAAAATATAATATATATCAAAATATATTAAATATAATTTATTAAAAAAAAAGTATTTAAACTTATAATATTATATATATAAATTCATTATTTATTTAACTTATGAAATAAATAAATATATGTTTTTTTTATATTATATTAATAATTATAAAATTTATCTTAAAAAGTATATTTGAATTAATTTTATTAAATTTAATTTATTTAAATAAATCCATAAAAATTTTTTTTATTAAAATAATAAAAATAAAAAATCATTTAAAAAAAAGAAAGCAATTAATATAAAAAAATAATTTTAAAATTTTAATATTTTTTATAAAATACCTTATATAAAATGAAGGTTAATATAATTTAATTTAAAAGTATATTTGCTGATATTAATGTAAATGAATTTTGGGTTGAAATAAAATCTCCTTAATAAATGGAAGATTAATCTTAATTAGTCTATAAGGGTAAGATGTATTAAAGTTTAGAAAAATCGAAAAAAATGATTGCTTTTCATTTCGAAATATACCCTGATAAATTAATTCGAATTTTAGTTAATTAAAATGATGAAAATTAAGATGATATACACGAAGAAGAAAAATTTTCAAAAATGGACTATTTAATATTAAGTTCTTGTTTTATAAAGAAAATAAAAATCTAGGATTATTCAAATAATCAATATACATATGGAATTCGGTTATAAAAAGAAAATTTTAAATGCGAATTATTTGCGGAAAACTCTTATATGTTTAATAAATGGTATGATGAAATTAAAAGATTTTGCATTTTATCGAAATTTGATAAGAAATATAAAATTATATAAAAATTAAATACTTCTAATTCATATAAATGCTTTCGATTTTCAGACTCTAATTAATATCAAGTAAAGATTTTTGACAAAGGGACAATTTCAAGTTCTTAAGAGAAATAAATATTAAAAGAAACTAGAGTTTTAAGAAAATTAAATTCTTAATATGTGACAAAATTACATGAAGTATATGAAAATGAAAATAATCTGTTTATTGTTTCTGAATTAGTTTAGGGATTAGATATGAAATATAAACTAAGTAACGCAATAGTTTTAGATGAGAAAATAATATCTGAGATAATATGTATATAGTAAATATAATTTTGTATTTATTTATTTATTTTAAAAAAAAAAATATATATATAAAAAAGGGAAATTATTAAATGCATTATAACATATTCATTAAAAAAATATTTTCCATAGAGATATTAAATTAGAAAATATTCAATTTAAAAATCTAAAAACACTAGTAGATGTTTAATTAATCAATTTTTAATCTGCAGATTTTTTTTATTCTAATTAAATTAAAAATTATAAAAAATACGGTACAGCGGGATTTATAGCGCCTGAAGTATTCAATCATAGCTAGTATAATTAAAAAATAGACGTTTTTTCATTAGGCATCATTTTCTATATATTATTGTATGGGAAATTACCTTTTGATTCGAATACATTGGAAAACATAATAAAATTAAATGAAAAATGTGAAATTGATTTTGATACAAAAAGCCACATTATTAAATGCTCTTCAAGTGCTAAGGACCTATTAATCAGGATGTTGGAAAAAAATCCTTTGTTAAGGTATTTATATATATAAAAATATAAACTTATATATTATTTTTAGACCAAATGCAAGTGAGTTAATTAATCATACATGGTTTGTTTGTATGAAAAATAAATAAAGTGCAATTTATAATAGTATGTCTACTATTGTAGAAAAGAGCTTTGAATAATCATTTAATAAATAAAGTTAGGATAATTATTCGGAAATTGGGACTACTTTTATTGAGGAAAATACTATAGGAACGGAAACTTTGAATTAAAAAATGAATGTTTTAAATAGTGATATTTATTAAAAAGTACCTTCTAAGTTTATTAGAAATTTAAATTAAGGAATTAATAAGTTTTGATGTTTATTTTGATAAAAAAAAAAAAATTAGATAATTTATGTTTATTCTTTTTCTATAATTTATATTATCATATATAATTATTTTTATATTAAATATAATATATAAATTAAAGGAAAAATACTAAAAGTTTATTACGTAAGTAAATTCTTTGTTTTTATTTTATATAAATTAAATTTAAATAAAGCTTTTTATTTTGGATTAATTTTTTCAATAATAATGACTGTTTATTAGACTATACTTAAAATCCATTATTTATTTTTTAAAAAAAAAATACAAAAATTATAGTTTTGTTTAAATAATTTTTTTTTTATCAGAAACAAAAAATAAAAAATAATAATTTATTTTTTTAATTCGATTTTTTTTTTTTTTTTCTTAATAAAAAAAAAAAACTTCTATTGCTTTTTATATTATTTTAAACAAAATTAAATCAACCGAAAAGATCTCCCATATCGTAATCTTCTTCTTCTTCCTTTTTAGCTATTTTTACAAAAAATATTAAATTAAAAAAAAATATATATCTATTACGTTCTTCCTTAGGAGCTTCTTTTGCTGCAGCTTTAGCAGGAGCTGAAGCTTAAGCAGATTGAGTAGGGGCAGAACTTGCTACTCCACCTCCTAATTATGGAACTAATTTACTGGCAGGTGTATGAGCAAATAATCTTTGGAAAGCGGCATTTTGGGAAGCATTTACTTTTAAGTTGGCTGCCTTCAATACTTTTTCAATATTTTCGGCAGATGTTTCTTTTTCAGCGTCAACTAATAATAAAGTTGCATATGCATAAGCAAGTTATTCAGAATTCATTTTTTAATTTTTATTTTATTTTTTGTTAAATAATTTTATTTTTTTAATTGTAAAAAATATTTTTTGTTTTTGTTTTAATTTTTTTAGCCTTTATTTATTTATTTATTTTAATTTTTTTTTTTTTATAAAAGTATAAAAAAGGGAAAAGTGTGGAAAATAATATAAAAAAAAAAATACAAAAATATATATATAAAAAATAAAATAAAAAAAAATAATAATAAAAATAAAAATGAACGCTGGAAGAAAAAATTAATGGAGTAAACCCATGACTGGTTTAGTTAATGATTAAAAAGTTTTAGTTGATTAATATTTACCTAGAAAATGTGAATGGACAAACAGAATTATTCATTCAACTGATGCATCTTCAATTTAAGTCAATGTTGCTGAAGTATTTTTTAATAAAATGCAAAAAAAATATTATAATAAAATATATAAAAAGGTAGGATAAAATGGATAAATGAGTGGCAAAAAAACCTCTATTATTTTAAGTGGATATATTAGAGCTAAAGGAGATTCTCATGTTGCTTTAGAAACTGTTCTTAAAGAAAAAGGTTTATATCCTATTTTGGAATGATGTTAGTGTCATTTTTTATTTTTGAATAAAAAAAAAAAAAAATGTATATAAGATAATTATTATTTAGAGAATTTAAACAATTTTTTCATATTTTTAATAATATATATTATCTTATTTTATTTTTTTATTTAAATTTTTTTAAAATTACATTTTTTTTTTTTTATTAGAAAAATAATATAAATTAGTTTAATGTCAATTTTTATTTTTTTTATTAATTTAATTATATTTTATTATTAAAGAAAGATATTTTTATATAAGAAAAGTATTTAAATGTATTTTTTATATAAATTATATTAATAATATACTAATTATAATTTAATAATTTATTATTTTTTTTCTTTAAGATTGTTTATATAATTAATTTAAAACAATTCATTTATTTAAATAAAATAAGATTTTTTTTTTGTGAGTTAAGAGTTAAATAGATTTATATTTATTTATAATTTTGTTTAATTTAAGGATTTTATTTATTATTATTTTTGTTATTTCAAAATTAATTTTTATTTTTTTCTATATAAATACATTATTTTAAACTTTATTTTATTGTTGTAAATTAAGGATTTTAATATAAATAAAAATTAAAATATTATTATTTTTTATTAAAAATAAATAAATAAAAATTAGAAAATATTTCACTAATTAAATAAAAATTATAACAACATTAATATTTTATTTTATAAAATAAAATTCAGTTTTAAATTAAAATTTATAAAAAAAACGCATTAAGTTATTTTTTATTTGAATATGAAATTAATTTGTATCAAATTTATTGCTATTTTTATACATAAATAAATAAAATATCTTTAAATAACAGGTAAAAATTAGTTTTATTTAAAATAAAATATTAATTAATATATTTATTTAAAAATAATATAAATTTTATGATATATACAACAAAATAATTATTTATATTAATATTCTTTTTTTATAAAAATTGACAATATATTATAATATTTATATTAGAAATATATTTTAACTTTTATTATTTATTCTTTTAATGAAAAAATCATTAAACTTAAGGAATATTTAAATTATCAATTATTAAAAACATTTTTAATTGATTATAAAAATTGAATAAACTAGTTTATTTTTTTTTGATATAATTTCTAAAAAAATAAAAAAAATTATTTATATAAAAATAAAAAAAAAACAATACAAATTAATTTTTTATATTTGATTAAATCTTTTAATATCTTTTTATATTTTCTATTTAAATCAGTTAAAATTAATTTTTTATTTATTAAAATCCCATACATAATGGAAATATCTTATTTTATTTTAAATAAATATGTAATGCTGATATTAATAAATAAAAAATTAGTTATTTTATCGCAAAATGACTGAATAATATAAATTCTTAACCTTTAAATTATCTATTACTTATTAATATATTTTATAAAATTAAACGACTTTACTATATTAAAAAATTTCATCAATTTATTTTAATAATAAATAATTTGAAGATTTTTTTTTTTTTATAAAAAGATTAAGCACAAATTTTCAAAAAAATAAAAAATAAAATAAAAAAAAATGATTTGGAATAATCGAAAAATGAATAATTTCTTTAATAAATAAAAAAATATAATAAAATTATTAAAGAAATAACTTAATCATTTTTAAATAAAATATTTTTTCTAAAATAAAAATATCAATAATTTTTTTTTAAAAGAAGTAAACATAATTCAATATTCCTAAAATTATCTTAAATATTTACAAAAAAGTATAAAATCAAAATCATTTATATTTTACCAATATAATATTATAATAAATAATAAGTTTTATATATTGAAGTATATCTTAAAGGCAAAATAAAATAGTAATTAAATAATAATTTTAAAATCAGTAGGGGGGACGGCGTGGGATTTAATAGAAAAATATTGATAATTAGTAAATATAAAAGGATTTTATATATTTTTTATAAAAAATAAAATAAAGGTTTTTAATTTTTAGTTGATATATTTTATAATTATGTATAAATTAAAAATAAATTATTTTGATATTAAAATAAATAAAAATAGTTTATAATTAGAAAAAAATAATTATTGATATTAAATAATCTGTATTAAAATAATTTATATTATTTATATATATTCTATATATTAATTATTCTATATTTTTTATTTTAAATAAAATTGTATTTTACAAATATATTTTTAGCCTTTTAATATTAAAAAATATATATAAAAATAGTAAGGGTTTTATCAATATAATATCGATAAATATATTTTTTTTATTATTATTTATTTAAAAAAAACAAATTAAATAATTTCATTTTAATGTTTTAAAATAAAATTTTTATTAAAATTATATTTTTTTATAATATAAATTTGTTTATAATATATATTAATAAATAAAAACTATAATTAATAATAAAACATATTTTTTATTTTTATTCATTTTCTATATTTTTTTTTTTTATTTTTACTTTATTTTATATAAAATCTTTTTTAATCGAATTTTCTAGTGAATATTATTTATTTAAATAATTTTAAAATGTATTTCCTTAGTTTTCTTTTTTATATATTTTAGTTAAAAATTGTTTTAAATGAATTAGTTAAAATAAACTTAAAAGAATTACAAATAAATATTAAATCTCTAAAATTAACAAATAAATAAATAAAAAATAAAAAAATATTTAAATTGATAAAAATTTCAAATAAATAATTTCTAATATATATTTTTAATATTATATATAAAATTATATGTTAATTATAATGAAATTATATATGTAAATAAATGATATTATTTAACAAAACAACTATTAAAATATATATGAAATTAATTATTATTATAAAATTATTGTTTTTCATTTTCTTAAAAAGAATTTAATTTAATAAATTTGAACATAAATAAATTAAAAATAAATCAAAATAAATAAATAATTGTATTAAAAAATAATACATATACATATATATTACATTATATAAAATATAATTTACTATTCTTTTTTAAATTTTTTAATATTATTTTTTTTTTTTTTCTTGAATTAATATAATACTCATAAAATAAAATATCATGAATAAATAGAAATATTTAAATAAAAATAGTAATAATTCAGTTTCATTTAACTATCAAAATAACGATTAAGTAAAAACAAATACGAATTCTAACGAAAATAACTCAATATTATAAGAGCACATAGAAGAATGTGAATAATAAATATGCGAAGACTCCCAATCAAATTCACAAGATAATTGTTCATAAGATTTTTCTTAAAATAATGATTCAGATACAAGCGTTTATAATATCAATAGTCAAAACAATAGTTTTCAATAAATTGATTAACAAGATAATGATTATATAGATAAAAATTAATTTATAAAATAATTAAATTCTAGTAAATAAGTGATATAATCCTCATCAGAATATTTCCCACTAAATAAATAAATAGAATAATCAATAAAGATTCCTTTAGCTTTTACTATAGCACCATTTTCAAAGCCTGAAGTATATAATACATATAAAAAATTAATAAACTTAATTTATTTTTTATATTATTATAGTTAAATATTTACTTTTTTCAATTTTTTATCTTAAAATTAAAAAATAATATATTTATATAAAAATCCAAGTTTTTTATAGTTTTTATTATATTTAAAAAAATAATTTATTAATAATATATATAATAATAGTTTTATTTAAATAAAAAAAATAGTGTAGTATAGTAAATTTCAACTAAAATGAACAATTTAAAGGTGAAATAAATTTAAGTGATATAGAAGATGTTTAAAGATGTGCAAACTGTAGGACAATAATAAACCCTTTTTGTAAAATTCTACCCGAATAAAAATCTTGGCGTTGTAATATGTGTTAAAATGAATAAGATATTCCATATTTATATGCAAAATAAATTCCTTAATTGAGAAAAGTTCGAAACGAATTAAAATTTGGGTCATATGATATTGCAATACCTTTAAAATATCATGCTAAATAAGAATCGGATATTGTATATTGGTTTATGATTGATATAAGTTGGAAAAGCTCATAAAATGGGTTTTTAAAGAATACATGTGTAGCGATAAAAAATGCACTCTAATCTTAAATTTTTTAAGAAAATAAAAATTCTATTAGTATAGGATTTATAGGCTATTGTCATGAGCTGCATTTTTATAATGTTAGTAAAAGACTTAATTAGCCTTAAATTTTTGTTATTAAAGATATTGAATATGATATGGAAAAAAAAGAATAGGAAAATGAGAATAAATTAGAAGAAAAAAATGAGTTTTTTTTAAAAAAAAATATAAAAAAGAAGACCAGGAAGAATAAATTGAATTTAACTGTTTGGAGTTGCCTTTTCCTGATGATATTTTGGTCAATTTAGAAGAATGTGAGAATAATATTATGAGTTTATTAGATTAAATGGAGACTATGTATTCTTTAAAATAAGATTATACTGTACAGAGTTTATTTTTTAAAGCTTTTAATGTGTGTTTAGATTAGATGAGTATGACAGGGGGAAGATTATATGTTTTCCATTCTAATGATAACATACAATTAATTAAAAATAAAAATTATTATTTTAATTAGATTTGTAAAAAATTTGATAATAAATTTATTAATTTAAACATGTTTTACCAAAAAGGAGCATTTTTTAATTTAAAGGAATCTTAAATAGGAAAGTTGGTAAAAGAAAGTAATGGACAAATAAAAAGCTTTTCTTAAAAATATATGTAGTAAAAATACAGGTATGTTAATTTTATATAAAAAGCTTTGTGCTAATAATTTGCCTGGGAAGCAGTTTTAAGAATAAGGTGTTCAATAAATTGGAGTATTGTAAATGTAATAGGAAATTTAAAATAAAGATAGAATTTAAATAATTTTTTTCTTTTAAGCAGAATAGTATTTATTATATTATATATATATATATATATATATATGTATATATATATATTATATAAATATACATATTTATATATTATAAAAAATTAATTTAATAATTTTTTTATTTTTATTTTAGAAATAATTATGTTGTTTTAGAAGTCAGTTGTTAATCTTATGATAATAGAAGTGATTATTTTTTTATATAAGTATATAGTTATTTTTTTTTTAAAAAAAAAATTGATTTATTATATTATGAAATTTATTTTATTATTTAAAAAAAATTAGAGTAGTATGTTATATAGTAACTAATATAAATAAAGAATGCTTAGAATTCATAATTTTGCTATTCCTTTAACTAAATAAAAAAGTTTAATACATCAAACAATTAATCCTTAAGTTTTGTTTTCTTATTATACAAAACTTAATATTGATTAAGTATATTTAATTTTATAATTAAAAAATAAATAAATTATAATATAATAATATAGATAATCGTATTTTAAAAAGATAATATTTAATTAACTAATAATTTTATTTTGTTAATAAGAGATTTTATTGTTTAGGCTTTGAAATATACTAATGTTTATAAAAAAAACTTTATATTATTCATATATTAAAAAATTATTTAAATTAGAGTACAATAACTAAGCTTTTACATTAATTTTGCTTGGGCATTTTAGGATATTTAAAACATAAATATTATTTAAATAATAAATACAAAGAGTAAGAATAAAATGATATTATATAAAATAAATACTAAGAATATTTAAAATGAATCCAAATGAATTAATAAGAAGTTTCGTTCCATTAATGTTTGATATTAATGATATTCTTAATAATTAAATATATGATTAAGAAGGTAATTATATATTTCCTAAAAGTCTAGATTTAAATTACGAAAATATACAATATAAATAAATAGTATTATTAGATATAGGGTCTAAATTTATAATTTTTATAAATAAAAGGTATTAATTTTATTAAAATATATGAATATCTTTATTATTTAAATTAGAAATATAAGTGAAAATATATTATAAGAATGTTTTTAAATAAATAATTTGGAAATTTTATAATAATAATTATAAAATAATAGTAATAATAAAAATTTAATAAGAAATGAAAAACTCTAAATACTTATAAATGCATTAATTTAGTATATATTTAATTATATAAATAAAATTAAATATATTTTACTTTATAAAATATAGCTAAAAATCCGATTAATATTAAAATATAAATATAATAATAACTGAAACAAATAATGATAAAGAATATTTGTAAAATATAAAAAATTTATATTTATATTACTTAAAAATAAAAAAAAGAGTCTATTATAAGCTAATTGAAGATTATTATAATTATTAAAAAGGTTTTAAATATAATTTAGAATAATTTATATAATATTTAATTGATAATAAATGAAATTTTTATTTTTATTTTAATTATTTTAACTTTTTAAATAAATATAATAATAAAATTCTAGAAAATTAAAAAATAATATTTTTAAATAAAAAAATCTAAAAAACTTTAAATAAAAATACTTAATATGAAATCCCTCCTTTGAGTCCAGTAATTGTTAAAGCGAAAAATTAACTCAGAGCTAAGTTGAATAGAATAAAAGATGGAGTACAAGGATTAAATCCATAGGGTACTGTTTATGTTGTTACCTCAATCATAGAAAGCGAGCAAAATTATATACGATGTCACAGTATATCCTGCATGTGGTTATTCCCACACAGACATTCATCTATAGTGGATAAATTAATATAGATGAAGGCTTTATTTTATAAAGAAATAGAAAAAATATTAATTATAAGGTTAAAAAATAAATATTTAAAAAAAATACAAATATTAAAATATAAATTAATTACTTTAAAAATATAATAAATTTTTTATTAAACTTTTTTTCGAAAATATTATGTTTTATAAATACATTACAATATAAACACCAAATTAAAATTTTTGAATTCTATAAATTATAAAAAAATACTTTTACTAAAAATAAAAAGTAAATATATAGATTATTTAAAAAAATTGTAATAGAAAAAAATATAAATTAGGAATAATTATAAATAATTAGATTTATTATAAAAAAATGAAATCAAAAGGTACTATTTATGCTTAAATTAGCTTTAGTATATTTTTTTTTAAAATACTAAATTATATAATTTAATAATTTTTATATATATAAAACATATCTTATTTATAATAAAAAGAAAAAAAATTATTATAGCAATTAAATAAGAAAATTAAATAACAATAAAAAATAAAAACACAATAAATATATATAAAATTATTATTAGGGTTTAAATATAAAATAAAAATAGTATTTTTGTATAATATAGATAAAAAATAATATTCTTTATATGTATTAAATAGATTAAGCAAATATATAATTAATAATATTTATATTTTTTACAAATGTATTTTTTTTTAGAATGAATTTAATTTTTTTCTAAAAAAATAAAGGAAATATTGATATTAAAATACATTATAATCTATTAAAATGGCAAAAAAATAAAATAATTTTTATAAATATATAAATATATAAAATATATAAATATATATAAATATATATATTTTTTTTAAGTTTTATATATTTATATGCATTTAAAAAAATACATATTAAATTTTATTTATAATTTTTTATAAAATAATATATTATTTTTTATTTTTATTTAATTATTAATTTAATTAATTTTCTAAAAAAAATTAATGTATCTATATTTTTTCTTTATATATAAAAATAAATTATAACTTTAAATTTTATTATAATTGAAAACTATTCATTTTTCTTTTTTTTTAAAAAAATACAAATAATTTTATTTAAAAAAAAAATTTAAAATAATATTTAAAAAAATAAAATTTTTAAAAATAATATTTAAAAAAAATATATATATATAAAATGCAAAAATAAAGCAACTAAATTCGTCATAGAAGTTGTTATAAATTCAATTTAAATTTTAGAATTAAATAGAATAAATAATTTAATTAAGTTGGGAATATTTAATTATCAAAAGGAATGTATTTGTCTCTAATTAAAAGATAAATCGAACAAAAATAAAGAGATTAATAAAATTCTATATATAAAATTAGAAAGGAATCTTTACAAAAAAGCAGAATTCTTAAAAAAAGCAAATTTATAAAAAAAGCTTTTATTTATTGCAAAATAAAAAAATTATATTAATTTGATTTATATTAAGAAAAAGATTTAAATATTTAAAATTAATTCTAAAATATAATTTGCCTTGATTAAGATAATGATATGGATACTGATTGTGAGTAAATAGAAGAATCAACTTTTGATGTTTTTAAATCTTTATGTTTGGCTTTATATTAAGAAAAAATGACTAACTAATAAAAAATTCAGTGATATATATATTGAATTATTTATATTTTAAGAAAAATAAAAAGACATATTTATTTATCGAATTTTCTATTTAAAAAAATATGATAGAGTTTAATAAATTATTATTTTTTAATTATAATTTAATAAAAAAAAATTATTATATAAATTTAAGAATATTAAAAAAATATAAAAAAAAATAAGCAAAAAATCAAAATAAATAAAATTATAATATTTATATAATTTAAAAATAGTAAAATAATAATAAAAAATAATTTTAAATTTCAATTAAAAATTATTAAAATAAAAGTTATAATAAATTAATTACAAATATATTTATATTAAAAATATTTATATATGTTTTATTATTTATATATATATATA